CCCAGGATACTTTAGTGTGGAAACGTGCTTGTACTGTAATGCTCTCTGTGTGTGGTGTGTACGCAGCCGAAATCCTTCCCCCTAGACTAATTAACCAACAAGCAAGTCTCCACATGATGGCAGCAGAGTGTTGAATGAGTCATCCTATCCAGCAGTATGTTACAGACACAGCCATATGCTTGTTTCATTCGAATCCTCTTTGGGACCACAGAACCTATTTTCACACCTGGATGATGTTCCAAAAATGACCAGAGGAATCAGGGCTCCCGCCTCCTCCAACAAGTCCTGATCTTGCAACTTAAGGGATATTACGTGAGGATTCATTCTGTGGCACAATCTAGCTGTGACTTAAGAGAGGAAGACTGCACAGAGATCTGCCCAACACACAAGGAAGCTGGAGGTTCCCCATGCAATCTCTGTGGCTGCCGACACTGGTATGAAGATGTTATGCTCGTTTGGTAAGTGGGTTACAATTATTCCATCTGCATAAAACTGTTCTTACTGGGCTGGTTGCTGTTTGTGACTAGTGTTCTTGCTTTGCATCCGTTGCATTTTTAGGATGTTTTGTGGTTTTAAATTGATACCGATTTGATTCTGTAAATTTGTATGCTAAATCACAAAATTTTAAAACAAATGGATCAAAAATTGAAAGTCATCAATAATAAAAAGAGATTAAAGCGGAAAAAGTTACTAGCTACAAAAACATATACTGTCCAACTTCTCCAAACATACGTATATAGATAATTTTTGGTTCTTTGCAGAAAGAGGGAAAGAAAGGAACCACTTTGTGTTCCAACATACAAAGGCTTTCCTGCCTTGGCTAGTCATGGCAACCAGGAAATGACTAAACCTCTTCCCTTTCATTTAGAACACAAATCTAGAAACAGAGTATCGCCCAGACAAATATTTATTTTGTATTTTCTTCCATATTGTACTTTTCTCCATTTAAGATGCATGCGCTTTCTTTTACCCCCACCCCACTGCTTTTGGAACAATGATATAGCAGTGAATGCTTGCACAGAGAATCATAGAATCGTGGAGTTGGAAGGGACCATGAGGATCATCTAGTCCAACCCCCTGCAATGCACGAATCTTTAAGAGGGGGGAGGAACTAGGAAAAATTATAAAGAAGAAACTGTTCCTAAATTATGTAGAATGTACATATAAAAATATTTGCGATAGCCAGCTCTGCTTCAGACGTTTCTAGGTGTTTGTAGTATGCTGAAATAACTCCTACATGCCACAAGAGGGCTATGTATATATTGGTCTAGTTTTCAGACTGTTATTTCTGCAGTAAGTTCTACACGCAATAAAAACACATAAATATAAAAAATATAAAATAATACATTTCTTACCCACCTTTCACCACCAGTTCCTAGGGCAGGATACAATAATTAAAAATTTAGATTTAAAAGCGGTTACGACAGATTTCAGTCATTGGAACAGGGTGGGTCTTGAAAACACACAAAAGACCAGGGTAAAAAGTGCATCTTTAGCAATCGCCAAAAACTGTATAGTGGACCCAGCCCCCAGACCTCTGAAGGAGGTAGAACTTCCCTCTTTGTTGACCTTAGCACCTCAGTGGATCTGTAGGGAAGGAGACAGTCTTTCAGATATTTGGGGCTGAAGTAGGTAATTGAGGGGTTTAAACACCAGCGTGAGCACTTTATATTGGGCCCAGAAACAAACTGGCAGCCAATGCAGCTGTTTTAGAACAAAGGTTTAGGAGGCAACCCAAGCCAATAATTTGGCTGCTGCATTTGGACTGGTTGAAATTTCTGAGTCTTTTTCATTGGCAGTCCCACACAGAGCTCATTGCAACAATCCAATCCGGAATCTGCCACAATATCATCTCCGTCTAAAGGTTTGCTGCAGCTGGCTAACCAGCCATAGATGGCAATAGCCACCGAGGCCACCTGGGCCTCAGGCAACAACACTGGACCCATGAGTACCCCCAAGCTACAGAAGTGCTCCTTCTAAAGGAGGGCAACCCCACCCAGAAGAGGCTGCCTTCCCACCTCCTGGATTTGAGAACCTGGAATGCAGAAGACCTGTCTTTTCGGGATTCAGCTTGAATGTGTTTGCCCACATCCAGTCCATCAGGGCCTGCAAACACCTGGCCAGCACTCGCACGTTTGTTGTAAACAGCTTTGTTTGCTTTTATAAAGAAAGGATATGCTATTAAAGCAAATAATTAAATAATCAGGACCAACCAGAAGCACCTGGTGATGGCAGGAAATTACCATCAATATTGTTGGTGGACTTAAAGTGTCATCTTTTGAGAAACAGCAACTGTTTGGGCTGAGCAAAAAAACCCCAAAGGCCTTCAGTCTTGTTTCGATTGCCAGCTACTAGGAATGTAGCTGGAATGCAAGTCACACCCACCTAGCAAAAGCAGGTTGGAGACCTTAAAAATATGTGCGTCGTTCTGGCTCAGTTGGTAAATGTGAGGCTCAAGGCAGCAGTCAGGATTGTCTTTACAGCTGCAATAGACATTCTCATATTCTCTTCTTCCAAGGAAACTGACCCTGAATTCCATATGGCTATGGGAGGGGCTGCAATGAAGCAGGCGAACACATCTTTTGTATTGTCAACAGAAGGCATCATTTGAAATGATCAGGAAACAGGTGATGGGCAAAGCTTCTGTCTGCTCCCTTGGAGAGCTGCTAACAGCCAGAGAGGACAGTCCTGGGTTAGATGGCCTGAGCTGATATGAGGAAGCTTCTAAGCAGCACTGTTTTTCTAGAAAAAGAGATGCCGGAACTCACCATGAACGCCTCCCTTCTTCTCTTATAATGACAATGGTGACCACCTGAGAGGTACCGGAACTAAGTTCTGGCGAGTTCCCGGTGGGAAAAGCCCTGCTTCTAAGTGATTCTGTGAAAGGGAATTGGAGGTGCCTCTATAATTGGAGAAGGATCATATGCAGGTCCACACTATTCCCATTTCCTTCACTGGATCCGGGGCGTTAAAATAAAACTGCCTGAAGTAAACCCTACACAAATCCAGAGTGGAGTCCCTAAAATGGTTGGATGGAGTCTTGTACGCCTCCTTCCAGCAACTCCTGCAGCCAAGCTGGTGCCAAATGTATTGCTGTGTTTTCCTTTGGACCACATCAGGCGGGCCAGGGGGGGTGGTGGCTTTTGTTGTCTGGGCAGCCCAGGACCTCCATAGAGACTACCCAGGCCTGTGTCCAGGAGTTTCATTTTAAGCCTCTTCTCATGCCCTTCTGTCCACATACTGCTTTGCCCACAATTTCTCTACCTAATCATGCCTGTGCTCAATTTTTTTCTCAGCTTATAAAGTCCCTGGTTCCTGCTACTAGACACCCCCACCCTTCCCACCATATAGATTGTAAATAAAAGTGGGCAAAGGCTCTCTGCCAGCTGGGCTCAGGAACTTTACTCCTTGCACTGCCATGGCAGAATTGGCAGAAGCCTTTTCCCCATAATATATGCTGTGTTGGAACTGCTTTTGAAGACAATTTGGACATCAGCTGACTCAAAATGCAGGAGCCAGAATTTTAACAGGTGCTGCCTGCTAAGACCACATAAAAGAACCACATTGTCTGTCTGCTAGTTTCTGGGCTCAGAAGTGCTGTTTTTGACTTTTAAACCCCTACATGGTTTTGTTAATCCAAAAAAATAACTCCTCCCACATACAGTGCAGTGGCACCTCATTTTACAGACACTTCAGGTTACAGACTCTGCTAACCCAGAAATATTACCTCGGGTTCAGAAATTTGCTTCAGGATGAAAATAGAAATCGCGTGGCGGCAGCGGGAGGCCCCATTAGCTAAAGTGGTACCTCAGGTGAAGAACGCACCTCCGGAATGAATTAAGTTCTTAACCTGAGGTGCCACTGTATTCCACATACAACCCTTGGCACCCTGTTAGTAGTATAGTGGGTGGCAGTTACAAGGTGTAGAGCCTTCTGGGTAGAGGCACCCCTGTTTGGAACCTGCTAATAAGGCAAATTCATCTATGGTCCTTTAGGAAGTAAGTAAAAAAAAGTTAAATCCAAGACGTTGGATTTAAGATGGAGTACCAATATTTTTAATCCTTGTCGTATTGGTTTTTTGAGTCTTGTGGTGGATTTTATCTTTATTTATTTCAGTGTTTGTATGAACACTTTCTTTTTGTTTTTTAACTGAATGTGCGAACCACTCAGAACTATGGTTATAGTGTGGTATATAAATGTAATAACTGAAGTAATGACTGTAGAAACATTTTTTTTAAAAAAAAACTATGTAAAAAAGTGAGACCAATGAAAGGGCGTGTGTGTCATACCAGTTTCCTTGGAGCGTGATTTGCCTGTTGCTTTGGAAATAAGCTCCAACTTCTGGATGACACAACTTCTGTTGTGACACAGAGGCACATGAACATTAACACAAGGTACTTGCTCTGTGGTAATAACAGATGTCACTACTTTTGGTAGGATTTGTCTTTTTATGAACAGGATTGGTTTAAGGAAGATGCTGTTTATTTCAGCATTGTTACATCGTTAAGTAGAAAGAGATTTTGTTGTGCTGAAGGACATGCCTTAGTCGTATCCCCCCCCCCCGGGGGGAATGTGCAGCACACTTTTAAAGTTCCCAGTTAGCTGCCTGGTGGGGTGTGAATGGGTGTCTTTTCTGGGACAGATCCATACAATTGGCTCAGGCAAAGGAATTCCCAAATTGTTGAGTGTTAGATTTAAACTTAACTGCGGGAGGCAGTGGAAGACAGGAGTGCCTGGTCCATAGGGTCACGAAGAGTCGGACACGACTAAACAACAAGATTTAAACTTAGTTTTGGTCATTCTAGAAATGTGCAAAATATTAAGAAAAGTGGATGACACGAGGTTAAAAAAAATGGATCACTTGATATGGAATGACCCGTTGGTAACAGAAGCGGACTTTAGAATCTCCTGAGCTAAATATTCCGAAGCGAGCGCGGGCGTGGCGGGGCTTTAGGAAGAGGAGGTGCACGTGTGTATGAGAGATTTCTTTCATGGGCAGAGCGGTTACTCAGCAGACCTGTCATTTGTTCCACCCGAAAATGTTTGCAGCGTGAAACCCGACGCTGTTGTTGCTGCAGCTGCCGCCGCCAAGTGGGAGGGCCCAGGAGGAGGAGGAAGGAGGAGAAAGTTCAGCTCCTCCTCCTCCTCTTCTGGGCTCTTCAATTATTTTCTCGGAAGAGTCAGGCGAGCAGAGCACGGCTGAGAAAGCAAGAGGAGGACACGCAGCGCTTGGGCGTTCCCTGGACCTTCCTTGACAGCCTTCCTGGGGGCTTACCTGCCAGGTGAGAGGGTTGCACCAGGGGGAGGCCGCAGCTGCGCCTTCGTGCCCGGCTGCTGCGGGCGCTGGCGGGCATCGGGCGCGTCTCTGCTGGAAACGGAGCCCCGGGCGAGGCGGGCCTTGCTCCGCCTGAAGCCAGCAAGGCGGGGGACTCCCTGCCACACACCTATAGCAGGTTGGGAAGCGGCCCCTCTTAATTCAAGGGGCCTGAATCTGTCAGGGAAGCTGGTGCCCTTCCTCTCTTGGGTCGCCCCGACCTAAACTGGGTTTGCGGGAAGGGCTCCTTCCTTGCTGCCCTCCCTTCTCAAGCGCAAACATGGCTTGCAAGTCTTCCTTCTCGGCCCGCCAAGGGCGGAGGTGCTGGGTTGGGTCGAGGAAGAGCGGGAGCCGCGGGCTGCTGCTCCTTGTTGGGTCGAACAGCCTGGCTCGGCGCGGGCCTTGCTCTGCAACAGGGCGGGGTGACTTTTTCAACTTACAACTGACAAAACTTGAGGGGTGCTCAAAAGTTGTAACGTGACTTGGGAATTCAAAAGATTTAATCGGATGTTTGGTGGGTAACACCAGTGTAAAATCACATAGAAATCGTTAAAAAGGATGGCCAAGTGCTTGTAGTTGTGTAATATATTAATATTTATTATTTAGTGTTACCTGATGTTTTCAGAAGGTAGAATTAAAATTACTTGGTTTTCTGAAAGCAGTTCATGTGCTTCTTCATCAGACGTAGACTAACCAAGCTGAATGTTGTCCAAACACAAAAATAGCAGCAGATTTGAAGTCCTCAGACATATTTTCAAGACCCCTCGCAGAAGAAAATGGCAAAAAATAAGCTTCACTCCCTAAAATGGCATGCTCTACTCATGTAAGGTTTTCTGCTTCACAGCATAGAATAATAGAATCATGGAGTTGGGAGGGACTATGAGGGTCATCTAGTCCAACCCCCTGCAATGCAGGAATCTCAACTGACATGACACATTGTCATCCAATTCTGCTTAAAAACCTCACAAGGAAGAAGAGCCCACCATTATTATTATTATTATTATTATTATTATTATTATTATTCCTATTCCTTAAATGTATACTTGATGTCTTCTCTTAATGAATTCTTAACAACAGTCCTTTTCGCTGCCTTTACTTGTTTTCTTTAAAAAAATAAAACAACCAGGCAAATTTTAGATTAGAAGCTCCTTGGGGCAGGGACTTTTCTTTCTGATGTTGTGTGTTGTTGCCTTGTAAAGTGCCTTGGCATTGTGAAAGTAATTTCTACTGGGCCCTTATAATAGCTGCATTTATGTTGTTTATTTCTGGCCTTAAAGTGCTTCAAGTACACGATCTCAGTAATCCTGTAATTAACACCTGCATTATTTGCCCCCTGTAACCTGGCCCATCACAGCAGCCCTCAAGTGCAAGACAGAAGATATATTTTATAGCATCTTCCCTATGACTAACAGAGGCAGACCAGATTATGTTAGATAAGCAGCTCTGTGAAAATTTGCTTGTTTGTACATAATATATACAGGGTGTGGAACCATGAGTTGTCTCAGTAGAGATCTTTTTTAATTTTACATGAAGTTGTACACCTTGCCTTCTGTGGATTGTAAAATGCTTTGCACAGTTGGAACGCTATAATATTTTTTATGAAGTGTGCTAGGTACCACACAATAATTTCTAGACATGTGTGATGCTGATTTTTAAGGCCTAGCTTATTTCTGTAATTTTAAGTTGCTTAAGACTGAATTCCATATTATGTTGTCATTCTTACCTGCCCCGAGACCTTAGGGTGAAGGATGAGTAATAAATTGTTTTAGTAGTAGTAATTAATAATAATAAATAATAGAAATGCGTAGTGATATGTGTGGATTTGTGGTCTGCGATACTCACCCTTGTTTCCCAAATGTGGCAGTGTTGTTTTCTTTCCCTTCCTGTGTCTGAACTGACAACAAAGAATGTTCTGTCTCTTTATCTTCTATAGTTGTTCCTAATAACATTGCTGTTTCTGGGATCCTGTTTCTGGTTGTTTGTTGCAGAGGATTCTGGTTTAGGGGCTGCTTCAAAATGTGTTAGGTTGGCTCCTGCACATCCAGTGGCTGCTGCTCCACCCAGGATTATTTTGGGATGTGTGTCTTGTTGGTAGACCTGCCTGAAAGCTACTGTAGTGACTGAAATGCTATGTTGCTGGTCTAGCATATCCCATAATGCTATTGTAATATGCTAGTGGATAGGGGTGGGCTCCATAACCCTCCTCCCTGCCAATGACTCCAAGCAGCTTTCAGTTCATTTCCCCCCCAGGTGGGCTCTTAAACTGGAGCAAGGCCAGTTGAGATCAGCCTTCAAAGAACATTTGTAGGGGAGAACTGGCAGCAGGTACAAGAGAGATTACCGTATTCTCTCATTTCAGCCTGCTGACCCCCCTGCCCCGCAAGTCCCATCCCCAACCCCCAATTCCTGGTCGGGAATGTTCTTATGCCAAAATCATATGTAGCTCTGCCCAGAGCGTAAGATGTAAGAATCCCCTGGTTCAAATTACCAGTACACATCGCGGAGAAACACATTTGATGGCTCCAAGCCACGGTCTTTTGATTTTTTCACTTCCCCATCTGCAATGTAGGGCATAATTATGCCGGCTCACTTTGTAGATCTCTCAAGTCTAGAGCGATGGGATGGATATCTGCAATGACTGTTCATTATCATTTAGATTTCAGCCTGCGCAAATCAACAGGATTGGCAGAACCAGCCAGTATAACATCAGATCCTCTTTTCCCCGCACACTGTTTTAATTTTTTATGTACTGCCACCCAACCCTTTTGAGCTGTGGTGTGAACTTGCCGTGGCAATGGGTGGCCATTTGTGTCTCCCCTGATGAAGTGGGCATAAAGTGGGGCAATTGTTACCACAGAATTTGCGTGTTGGCAACTGAACCCTGTTCCCCCCACCCTGCCTTACCTCGCCATACTCCGTTGCTACGGGTGCTTCTATCCCAGCTGGAGTAGCGATTAAAAATGAGATTAAAAATGAAGAATGTACCGGGGTAGAGACAGGGTCCAGCTGCCTTCGCCCATGCGCAACATTTGTGGTAAGAGTTGCTACCTTCTCCACCCGGGTATTATGCGTGAACTGGGCAGAGAGGCCAGGAAGTGCGTCTGGCCCCTTCATGTCCGGTTTAGACCTTGGTTTCAGCATGTGGACGTCTGGAAAAAGGAATCGGTGTGGCCTCAGTTTGGGTCTTGGAGCTTTAAGTCAGTTCGTTGCTCAGTTTCGGACAAATTCCAATCTCTTGGCTTCCATCCCTCAGCTGCTGGGCAGGGAAATGCAAATGCAGAACAGGGTGGTAACGAGGCCAAACTAAAAATAGGAATGTACATTTTGTAGTATTGAATAGCCAATAGGTTGTATTAATTATGACCACTACGTTTCATATAAAAATATATGCAGAAACATAACTCTGCTCTAGTAAAACAGGCCAGAGAATGAAATTTTTTGGAGGGGAGGGTTTCATGCAGTGGTGGTTGCTAGCTATCCCGTATTATCCTGAGCCTATCTTGCCTCATAGGGTGGTTGTGAGAGAGAAGAAGCAGCCCAAGGTTGTTTGGGGATTTTTATGGACCCAAAATCCACATACACTCAAATTAATAAACACTGGCTCCAGTCTAGCAGGAGGTTGAACTGCAAACAACCCATTGAAATGACTGTGCTCATGCAAGTCCTCTTCATTTCAGTGGGACCTGTACAAGAAAACCTCTCGAGTTGCACCTAGGGTAAATGCATTAAATTCTGTACATCAAATCAATGATCAGGCAGAGAATTTTTTGATTGTGGATTCAAGCACACTGGACAGGTTTTATTGTTGAAGGCCTCCGAACTTCAGGAAGAGGGATGTGGGAAGAAAACTTCATTAACCAAGGGCTGCTTTGTTTCATTGCCCTTTCTTCCTCATTAACTCCCACATGTTTCTTTGTGCATTACAGCTTTAAGTGCTCAGTAGCAGTTTCTGCTTTCCTTCTAGAATAATTGACTTGTGACATCACTGCTGGCTGTCATGGAAACCATAACAGCCCAGCACAGTGTGTGGCAACCTTCCCCAACTGGGTGCCCTGCATTTTTTGGGGATCACATTTCCCATCAAGCCCAGCTAACTTCTTAAAACAGGACAAGCGCTGCAGTAACTGGCCAGGAATTCCACTGCCGATGGGAGCTCTTCTCATGAACTTTCTTACCACCCCAGTTCAATAAGGATGTAAAGATAGTGGATGGAATTTGGAGGAGGACGAGGGAGGTATGGAAGAGGTTTGTTAAAGTAATGGGGAAAGTCTTCAGGTGTTGAAGATCAGTGTAGTTGGCCAACTGGTGATCCTTGGGCTGGAACAAGCTTTTGAAATAAAGCTCTAACAAAATCAAGATGTGGCAGAAAGTTTGCCTGTGCTTTTGGCTTGTAAGAAAATGGTTCCCAAAAGAGCGAATCCAATGCTTTAGGTTAAATCTGGATTGTAAATCTAATTCTGTAGAGTATTGAAGCCCTTAAGATGGCACCAACTTCCTTGCCATCTGTGCAGAAAGGTCAGTTTGTATGGCAAAAAATACTCTGGCTCCCAAGTTACTATAGTGCAGACCCTGAAAATATAGATTTGCTATTCCTGGGATACAGTTTAAATTAATGGTTTTCAAATTTCATACCTTCTGGAAACTTTTTTGGATGAATTCATCTACTGAGGAACCTTCCCCTATAGAGAAAATTCTGGAAAGCATTAAAGGGGCACTCTGGTTTGGTTAGTACATAATGGCCAAACTATGGTTTGGTGACAGAGACTTTGCTTGTGCTTATAGTTTGCTTGATTTGAACCCAGTGGCAATCTAAGGAAGTAAGAGAGAGAATTAATGTGATCTAGCAGCATGGTATGCATGATCATGTGCAATTCCAATCTTTCGAAACCAAGTTGAGAGAGAGCTGCTACTCTAAATATAGCATTTGCTTACAAAAAGATTAGCCTTAAGGTACCAGTGTGGTTTTAA